TGCAGACATAATGCTCGCCCCAGACTCGAGTAACAACGAAATCAATTGATTTTCATTAAAAACTTGAAGTGTCTGTAAAGAGAACAGATAACACTATAACTAGAGCCTTATCCTCTTCTATCTTAATAGTTGGTGACCATACCTTGCTACTCTTGGTCTCTCTGGTATGTCCTTATCATCTAAAAAGGTTCATTTTGTAGGTCATGACAACAATTAGATAATTCAAGTTGCAGCAGTTTAGCAAACATAAAAACAGGTTACCATTAGTCACCCAACTATCAGCAAATTCTAGATTCTCAGGGTCGTAACCCCATCAGGTGTGAGCTAACTCCAAAACCCATTCATCATTTCGGATAGCAGGCTGTCACTTGCCTCCAATAAGCTAGAATTGTTAGTAATTCAGCCTTTCGGCCGTAAGACGGTAAAATCATTCCCGGACCTTGTACAAACCGATCATCACACTATCCTAAGTTGAATGCTATTGGATGGATTAATGGACTAAAAACTATTACCAATTGAATGCTAATTGATTGATTTAGATAATCATTGTGCAATGATTTGAAACTGCTTCAAAGTACCCAAACCACATTAAGAGGAGCATAGAATGACTGTATGATATATCATCTACATCGACATCTACATCTAAATCTACATCTACATCTACATAAAAATAGAGAAAACTGTCAATCAATCACTGTTTCAATATTCCTCCTATTCCACGTGACTCAAACTCAAGATCTTAAATTTCTACAAGGACCGAGATTCATTATAATTAAATCAGCATGATTTCTTAGACATTTTGTATTCAGAGATGAATGAGACCTTCCAAAAGAACAGTTGACATTTTACAAAATGGAGATCACTTCTAATCACTGCCTGTTATAACATGCAATTGACCCTAAGTCATCTACTCTCTTGATTTTACAAGGAGAAAAGGAAGCAAATACCAAATGAAGATCATGTTTTAGAACTCAGGAAAACAAAGAGGATAACGGTGGCAGATCCCACAATGCTTCGGTGGAATCATGGATGGTTTCGATACACTCTTGCAGTCCGTTCATAGCATAAAGTGAAGCCGAGATTTGTCTTTCGACTTCATCCTCTCGAACTCCGTCAACTCGGAGCCAGTTCCTCGGGAAAAACAACATTCTTTGGCAAATTCATGATTTCTTGCGTGTAAAGAAACCTATCGAACACTGTTTCACAAGTAGAAGAAAAATCCGATTCAGAAGCTCCGGACTCAAATTCCCTTGTGCAGTTGCTCATGTCAGGTTTGTATGCGTTGTCGAAAAGCTGCATATCTTGAACGATTTCGATAGGAGAAGAATTGTCATTACTTAAGCCTCCTCCACTATTGGAACTACTAATGCTGGGGCTGGGGCTGGGGCTAAAACTTGTTGCTGTGGGAGGTGAGACTAGAACACTTTGCTGTTCCTCTCCTCCCTTCTTTCTGTTAAGTAGATTCCGAATCCGGGACGCAAGAGGAGAATCGAAGGACACGTGAGTGACGAAGTTGGTACGAGTATCGGAACCGCGGAGAAGGCAAGCGGCTTCATCGTAAGCTCTAGCAGCTTCTTCAGCAGTGTCAAAGGTGCCAAGCCACATCCTGATCTTCTTTGTCGTGTCTTTGATCTCAGCCACCCATTTACCAGAAGGCCTTTGTCTTACACCAACAAACTTGTTAACCTTAAGGTTGCTTTTTGTTTCTTCCCTTGAATTTGCTCCCTTTGCTAACAGGGATACTTGATTTCTGATGCTTTTGTTGCTGGAACTGGATCTCCATTGCCAACAGACACAAAGAGAAGATATGAATGGTGAAGAAGGTGTATGCATCAACTTGGTTGAGCATCAATGGACAAAGGGGATTTATGTGTATCAGAAATTTAGCTAATAATCTCAAGATTCTGTGTTTCGGGTATCCGGATTTAAACACTCTAAATTTCGAGTCCTTGTGCTTGCTTTTGATTTTCACTGCAATGTGTTATCTGCCCCTTCCCCAACTTGTATTTTTTTATATATAAAAAAGCAATATTAAACTAATAAGAAATTGGACGAACTTGTCAGGGTTCGCAAAAAAATCTTACCCGTGATTTGTTCAACCAAATTTTGTAAGTTAATTTATATATTTTGAAAATAATAATTACTTTAACCAATTAAATTAAGGGTAAACTATAGGTTTAGTACCCCAAGTATCATTTTCGTTCCGTTTTGATCATCTAACTATTATTTTTTCAAGATTATATTTAATGTTACATTTTAGTTTTATTTTGATCACCTGCAATTAAAAATTAAACATAACTGTTGATGGGACATTTACTAAATAAATTTAATGATGACATTACATTATCTTATGGTGACAAGTTAATATTACTATTAATTTTTCAACAATGTTTAATCAAAATGAAACCAAAATGTAATATTAGTTATGATTTTAAAATAAAAAGTAGTTTGGTGACTAAAACGAAATAAAAGTTATTGTTGAAATACTAAATGCATAGCTTACCCTTAAATTAAACATCAAGTTTATGTAATTTCCTCTAAAAGTGATAATTGAAATATTAAACATTTAGTCTGCAATTGCTTGAACTTAAACAAATTCTTAATATTAAAATACTAAACATGTAGTTTACCCTTAAATTAAACATAAAGTTTATTTGAATAAATCAACCAAACCAAAATTTCAAGTTTATGTAGTTTCCCCGCAATTAAAGTACTAAACATGTAATTATTTTATAATTACAATTGCTCGAACTCAAAAAAACTTAAGAGAGAACAAACCACATTTAATGTATATTTTTTTAGTGGAATTCTTGATGTTCATTACAAGACAAATTCTACCTTTTTTAAGGACAAGACTAATGACCAACAAAAGAATAATTTTCGTCAGACAACCTAACTTGGGGCAAGTGGGGTTGTTGTCTAGTCCTTGTCTTGATCTCACCCTTTAAACCAAGTCAAATTAAGATAAATAATTGGGAAGAGAGCCTCAAGGCTTGCCACGTGGAGGGGTTGGAGATAACGTTCAAGAATATAAGATGAACACAAAAGGTAAGCTCCAAAAACCAATTGCTTCACTTGACTCATATTTTGCACCTACACATTAAAATAGCTCATCATCCATTACCTCATATCCATCAATATCATGCACTGCAACCTCTTTTTGTTTTTCTCTTAAACCCTCTCTTCTTACATCAATAAAGAGCAATTAATATATGCTTAGTATATGCATTAAACGATCTCAATAGTTAAAAGAATGATTGTTATCTTGGGTTTGAGTGCGATATCTACAAGGAGTGTTTGAACGTTAATTGTCAAATGAGAATATTACGAACATATATTTCTTTATAATAATTTCATGTTAATAAAAAAAAAGGAAAGATAGTGATGCAAGTGTGCGGTGTGCAGCAACCTTGAATAAGTGGTCTGAATCTTCGGTGGGTGCTTATACTACATTCCAGGTAAAAAGAATTATTATATTATATTTTAGTTTGATTTGTTTTGATGTCATTTCCGTTTGAATGTTGACATGGAGAATTGGGTGTTAAATTCAACATCCAACCAGTAACTTTCTTTTTATGAGCTAAGATGCTGTTCAAAGGGATTGCATTATTTGTTTTAACTATTATGGGGATCAATGGTGGCTCATTTTAAAATTATGGTATGAAATAAGATTTCATTTCTATTACAAAGAGATATTCTTCGGATCCGAAAAGCTAGTGGATTAATTTCGGTGTCAAAACTCTATTGCTCTAACATTTAGTTTTTGATGTGTCTAGACAGCCTATTTTATCTTCTTGTTGTGAAAGAAATTGAAGTACCTATTACTTCCGCCACTCACTTAAGAGGAATATAAACTTTAATGAATATTTTTGACTTTTTATGTCTTTCAAAATTTAAAACTTATTTTATTTTTAACCGTACCCTTATTGTAGTCGTATTCTATAATTCTAAAAATTATCGTTTCTCGTTCTTGTACCCGTCCTCGTATCTGTATCAGTCGAACATAGAGGGACACTTCGGCATATCATGTCAATGTTTGTTTCACCTTGTAATTTGGTGCTTGTTGTAGGATGTTCATACAGAGCTTATACAATACCAAAGAGCACATATGATCAGGCAAGGGATCATTAGTGAAAAACTAAAGGTTCTCAAACCTTTGGTGGCCAACGTCTTCTGATCCCTCAACGTGCTATGTTCGGAAACGTAGTAGACCGAACTTCTTTGTGCAGCGAGACGGAGTTGTCGGACTTGGTTGGCCTTGAAACACCTCTTTCTCCAAATACATTTAAAGTACCTCGTCGTAAAAGCGAGGCTGAACTTGAAGAAGAGAGGAATAGAGCTGGTCCACAGTCCCGACCCCTTCGTCCACCCCCTGAGAGGCGCATATATCAAAGCCGAACGCTTTCCCATCGCATCCGCTTCCGAGTACTCTTGTGGAATTTCTTCTCTTGAAACTGTGAAACAAATAAAAGGCAAAGATGTCAGGGTTTTATATGGAGATGAACATGAATGCCCCAAATGGATGCAGTCGGCCGGGGTTAGAAATGATGACATTGAATCGGCTGAAGACGATAATTATGAGGCCGAACAGCAAGATCGTTATGACCCCGATTTCACGATTATAATATCAATCATAATATCACACACATACATACATCCATAAATACATATATGTTATGTATACGCATGTATATAAACAAATTAATGGCACACAACAAATGGCTAAACTTTCTTCACTGTGTATTTCCCAGGGCCGAACACAGCAAGGACAACAGTTACAATAATCACGAGTAGAGTATAATAACATAGCACGTCCACTTCCTGGTGTTCTTCTGATTCTTCCTCGCGTTTACCAACTCGGCATGCCCTGACAGCACGTGATCTACCGCATTCAAGATCTGGACTAACTATATCGCTTCTACATTATAGAGTTGATCGAAGATTCTATAAAGAGTTCAATTACCTGAGTTTCTATGTTGTCTAGCATGTCTTCTTGTGCGTCGACCAAAACCTCCATATCCACAAGTACCTGCACGAGGAAAATTACTGATAATGTATTCTGTAAATACGTCCTCTCCCAAATCTGATCTTCGATGCAACTTCATTCCTATGGTGATCTGTATTTTCATGCATCTGCTCATATTGAACAACTGCACATATTTAAAACATTTCCCAAGGGAAATCACACCAAAATAAAGCCACACACACACACAGGACACGGATACTAAACAAAGAGTACCGAGTCAAGTCCATATAGGTAGCATATATGCTTTTCACCATGACATTAAATGCCAAAACGCTTATGAACAAGACTACTAAGATTTCTTGTTTCGCAAGTACAAGTTTGAATTTGATATTTTGATTATTTCGATCAAATCGAAGCAGCACCACAAGGCAACACGCTGATTAAGTACCTGCTGTAAATCAAGAAGCATCTTCTCCAAATCTCACACTTCATCGTGGCGCTCTTGAATTTCAAACACGGTGTTTATTATCTGTAAACGCACCAAAAGTTAATGTAGCCATAACCAATTTCTTCTGATCAGTATTAGAAGAGATTACTGAAAATCCATGCAGTCAAATAAAACAAAAGGAAGGGTGTAGGGATGAACGACAAGTATTAGCTTTGAGAAATTGCTGAAGTAAGAAGCTACTATTATTCTATTAGTATAAAGGAACAAATAAGGAAAATTAAGACAAACTTTGCCCCGTCTCTGCTCCTGAATTGCTTTCTGGAATATTTGTTTGCTATCTCAGGTTGCAATCAATCTTCCAATTGTCTGTACAATGTTCAACAATCAGACATTGGCTAAATAGGTCAGTGAGTTACTGATAATACAGCAAGGGAAGAGTGTCATACCTCTTCATCTGGTCTTGTGCCAGTCACTGGGAATCATAATAACCGGTGCAGATTAATATTAGCTCCAGTCATTGGGACCTTACCGGGAATCATAATATGAGCATCTTAACTTGTGAAAACACGTCGCTCAACAACCTCCTGATACTCTGGCTGGATTCTCTCCCTAATTAAGAATCTGCAATGGCAGGTACATAGACCCAAGTAAGATTAAGAGAATGAGAGTACCGACTGAGCAAATAACATCTTAAAATATCTATATCAGACCAACCTGAAACTCAGCTAGTTTGCCTTTCAACTTCTTTTTCAAGGCACTGCAGCAAAAATATGGCTGTTATATGGAATGGTTACAAGATATGATAAATTCCAGCAAGTCCAAAAGCTTGAAAAAGGATTCCAATGGAGGTGGAAACAAAAGTGGCCATAGAATTTTAAAATCATTCACATTGCAAGAGAAAAAGTAGAAGCAATTATTTCTTTTGAAGAATCACCGAGAAAGAAAGTAGCCATGGATCCTTAAAACCGTGTCAAATTTCATCAAACTAATCACGGCAGCAAAAGTAAAATAAATTAACTTCTGCTAACCATATTTTAGATTCATTTACAAATACTCAAAAATGTTCGATCATTTATTAAAAGGGACTACAAAACAATAAAAAGGGATGGTATAATACACAGTTGTTGCTGTTCTTGACCGATCGACACTTGTTCCTTTTCCACATCTAGGCTTCTGCCTATTGGCTAAATTCTGTCCAACTTCAAGAAATGAAATGAGGATCTATGAACAGCAAATAAACAAAATAAAAGCAGTAATTAGCCTACATCTCTGTCCCGTTCATCAATTTTCCCCTCTACAAAATGAGCAATTCTTCCAACTTCAGCAACGTTTCTCTCCATTCGCTCTTTGATGGCTACAGATGATAATAGCATCCATCATGAGATCTAAGTTCAAGACCGTATAACCAAGATTTGGTTATTAAAGAATCGGCTTTTATTTTATATATTCTCAATAGCAAAGTGATAAACAAAAATATATAAGCACAGACCTCATCATTTGTTTTCTCAGCAGCTTTTACTGAAACTATGACGGTATGAGAGACATGCAAGAATACTGCTAACCTTTCATGGCAGAACCCTTTGTTATTTCCCTTGATTCCTCATGTGCTTCCTGCATAAAATATTTGAAAGAAAATGGCATCCAAACGTCATAATCAATAGTCAATACTGTAGCTTACAAGATTCATCACTAACAAAACATCCAGCAATCATGTTAGGCAAGTTTCAACCGATAAGTATCAATCTATGTACAATTTTCTTTGGCATGGATTCAGGAAACAATACGAGGACAAACTTAGAAAAACTACAGTGGAATTTGACAACCTAAATAGATTTCTTCACAATAGGTTTTATGGCTAGGGAGAGTAGGATGATAGTGCTTTCACAAAGCTGAACAAACTTTAAAATCAGGACAGAGATAAACTAATATCAAAGCTCAAGAAAGATCCAAACAAAAAAGTTCAGCTCTTCCATAAAAATATAGTGCTTCCATAAAGAGGATAAAAAAACAGAGGGATCCTTGAAGTTTCACATGGAATATTTTCTAAAATTCATCAAAACTTTGATATAATACAAGGAATCAATAAAGATATAAGATACCTAAAGCTTTTTGAGTAGCTTATCCAGCTTCTCATATTCTTTATCTATCTCTTGAACCTGGAAAAGACAAAACATAGTATGGTGCCAGTGATTCAAGCCACCACTTTTGCCATTACAAAGAAATTTAAGTCCCCCTAGACAATGGATATTAAGAGATGAAACACGAAAACAGAAAGTTGCAACTGCAATTACAAATCAAATATACTTGTGCTTAACTTACAAAGGACAATATTACATCATTAAGTCTACAGCACCTTTACAAAGAACTCTTGAAGGCACACTTCTCCAGAATTCAGCGGAGCTCCTCCTGTTTTGATATCTCTACGTTGGTTTACACCTCGAGGTAACTCGCATGAATCCTGCATTATACCAAGTCATAAGTTCATGCTCAACTAAAAGCAATTTCCTATTCGCACCAAATTTTAAAATTATATAACACAACAAGTTCATGCTTAGGTTTTTTTTTCCTTAAAAGAAATGCAGAGTACATTCTTTTAAAAGCCTAAGCTATAAGTTCTTTTGATCTAGTTTTCAACTAATTAATTAGCTTTAATATTATTCTAAATTGATACAATCCAAATTATTTTCTATCAACCATTGTCTTACAAGAAAAAAGAAATAGCCCACTGTTCTCCAAACGTGGGTGATTAATTCGAGCTTAGGCTTTTAAAAGAAATAGCTTAGGCTAATTAATTCGAGCCACTAGGTGCAGCAGCCTAGTCATTGTCCCATTGCATTCCCTGCAACCCAAGACTTCGATGTTACCAACTTAACACAAGTTCGTTTACAAGTGATCACGAAATGGGCGATGGTGCCTTGGCTAAAGCTCACATTATTGGATCAAGTGCTTGATTCTTGCTGTGAGGAATTGATCGATTGATAATTAAGATTGTAAGAGCTCAGTTTGTTTATGCCCCAAGGATGACGAACGCTATGGCAGATCACCTTGCAAAAGCGGGTTAAGCAGACATGAATTATTCAAGGCGAGGTGGTATTGGTAAGTGTTTAGTTTTTGCATTCTTTTGGGCTGCTTAAATCTTTGTTACTCTGAGGGTAGTGGGCAAGAGGTCGATATAAAGTAAGTTGTATTATGCTTGTATTGCGTTGGATTCTCAAGTAATTTTGACTTTTATGGGTGTACACTAGGCTTAGGAAGGTTTTTAATGAGACATTCAACTCGGGTTTAGGCTTATATGATAATTAATAAATTTTTGCTGAGAAAAAAATTTCAGCATTGAAAATGTATCATTAACTTAATTTCTCCCATTTTCACAGCATCCAAACAGAAAAAAGGAAAGAAAATTAGAATCCTCCAAACATTATAGTTTCCTTTTATTCGTTAATCACAATCCAAATCAAATTTACAAAATGCAATGCAGCTACCCTAATTCAAAGAATAAAGAAAAAAATCCTTAGATCGAAACGAAATAAACAGCACAGGCAAACAAACAAAAGAAGCTACACGAATAATTAAATAGATAAAAACAATTCGGAAGTTCAAAATGTTTACCGTTGAAAGGTTGGAAAAGGTGAAACAATACTCGACGAAACTTCACGAGAAAGCTAAAAAATTTTATATTAAATTTAAAATGTGATTGATTTAGTATTAATAATAATAAGGGTAAACTACACAAATGGTCACCAAATGTTAGAGCACTTGCATTTTGGTCACCCAACTTTTAAAACTTGCAAGACAATCGTTGAACTTTTAGTTCGTTTTCAGTAAGGTCTCTGATATTACTTCCCCTTAGTTTTATCTGACATGGCACGTTACTTATTTTTCAACTTAATAAAATAATCATTTTAACCCATTTCAGCTTAATAAAAAAAATTCCTCACCCAAAATTAACTTAAAACCCTAAAAATCAAATTGGGACTAAAATCCAAAATCAATTACAAATCAATCTTTTTTTTTGTTTCGAACCTTATTGGGACTAAAATCACATTCAATATGACAAATAGTAATCCAGAATATGAAAATTCCCTCAATTTCATATTCCAAAAGATTTAAACAAACTTCAGACAATTAGGTAACATATGAATAAAATCATAAACAACTTTTCCAAATACATCATAAATAACAACTTATCATTCGTCACACTTGAACAAACCTTCGATCGAGTCCATTTCTCCCTCATTTTCATCCACCAGCAGTCGATAATCTAGAAAAAAAAAAGCATAAACCAAAAAACTCAAATTATAACTAATTTATCTAAGTCATTTGATCGATGAAAGAGTTTCAATCCCTTTTAACATTTTCTAAATTTTATACGGCATCATTTGGGAATTTTTTTTTTAAAATTTTTATTAAGCTAAAAAATATCAGTAATATGCCAAGTTAGATAAAACTAACAGGAGGTAATGTCAGAGACTTTACTGAAAATGAATTAAAAGTTCAGTGACTGTATTGTAAGTTTTAAAAGTTGGATGACAAAAATGCAAGAACACTAAAAGTTTGATGACCATTTGGTGTAGTTTACCCTAATAATAATAATTAGCATAATTAAGACCTGGTTGCGGCGCCAGGTGGGGGAAGAACGATACTGCTAGACAATTTATTTGAAAAGAGTGATTCGAATTATTCCTCTATTATAGAGATTTGTCAAATCAGTCCTTGATCTATTTATTTATTTATTATATAGAGAGTTGTTCAGGCTAATCCTCTGTTATAAAGATTGGTTCAAATTAACCCTTATACTATTAAATGAATCGATTTAGTTATTATATTAATAAAAAAGATTAAAATTACTCCACTTTTTTTTTAATAAAATTAACATTTATTGGTTCCATAAACGTCAATTATTGTTTAAAAAGTTTAACATTTTTGTAGTTTTTATGGTCTTGTAAATGAAATCTTTTGTTTAGAGATGCAGTGGGAATGAAAAAAGAGAGAGTAATTTTAATGTTATTTTTAGGGCAAACTATTAAATTGGTTTATTTTTATTTAGTTTCAATTACTGATTTTTAAAAAAGAATATTTTGATCACTTACGTTATCAATTTATAATATTTTGATCATTGAGATGTCAAAAGTCGTTAGTTTGGTGACATTACATGTTAGTAAAAACAGTTAATTTTTAACCTGATTCGTAAATTTAGATAAAATGTCAATTAAATTCCTAAATTTTATATAAAATATCAATTTGACCATTGAATTTTAAATAAAATAACATTTTAACCCTTGAATCCGACCAAATTTTTTTGTCGTTGGCTGCTTCTCATTATCGTCGTCAGTCATTGTCAGTCGTCATTGGCCGTCGTTGTTGATGACCGTTAGAAGTCAATTTTTTTTGTTCATTCATTTTTAGATCTCTTAAACGAGAATTTAATGTCAGTTCCATAAAATATTCATATACTCCACATATTTGATGTTTGTTTCCCTTTTAAACCAGGTGAAACTATGGTCTAAACATCAAAATAACACACTTAACTTTTTAATAATGGGTGAATTTCAAAAAGTTATTTCGAATCCAAAGGCTAAGTCCATGGCGAAAAAACGAGCTCGAATTGAACGAAAACTTCTATCTTATTATGGCCACAGCCTCTCTCCTCTCCTCTCCTTATGCACTGATACTCCGAGGTATTTCAAATCTTCTTCTAACTTCTTTAAGGTTTTTTGTTATGGTTGATACTACGACTGTAAATGAATTGAGTCTAGTTTGAATATTGTGGAGCTCGACTCGAGTCAAAAAGTATAAAACTGAGTTTGACTCAACTTGAAAACTCACCAGTTTAAAATTGTCAAGCTCAACTTGACTTGAAAGCTCGTGAACTAATTTTTTTTAACTGGATTCGGAATCAAAATTAAAGCTCGATTCGAGCTCAAGATATTCTCAGACTTAGTTCAATTGATGCTCAAATTAAAGTTCAAACTTAAACTTTAAGTACATGAAAGTTTTATATATATATATATATATATATATATATATATATTAAAAAAACAACATATTAATGTGAATATTATTAATAATTTAATTTTAAAAGTTTAGAACTTTAATATATTATTTTTTTTGAATTGCTTACGAGTTTTTCGAGTCAAGTATTAAGTAGCTCGTTCCGGCTCGTTAAAAATTCGAGCTTAAGTCCATTCAATTCAAGAATTAACGGAACTTTAATCGAATCGATCTCAAACAACTCATGATTTGTTTCGTCTTGTTTACGGTTTTAATTGATACAACTTCATACTCCAGACGCTACCTAAACATCAAAATTTGAACAAGGAAAAAAATATCGGATGAAAATTATTACCCCTTCGTTCTCTCTCTACTTTCACGAACTGTTGTTTGCTTGGCTTGAATACAATTTGTCTAACATCTTTATATAATTTAAAGCTCTGAATGGATCAAGAAGCAGCAATCCCTTGTACTTTAGTTAGTTAGGATACTCGGCTCTTACCTGAGTGATCCGGGTTCAAGTCCCGTCAACAGAAATTTTACTTTATTTCTTGTTTTTTTATCTTGTTAAGAGAGATGGCTACTTTGCTTAAGTGTGTATAAAGGTTAGGAAAAGCATAATAGTATAATTTCGTGGATTTTGTATAAATAAAATATGCTCACATATAATCATTTTATTATTACTTTTATAGATCAAATAGAGCCCAAATTATTACAATCAGCCCACCCGGTTCAAGCTTAGGCTCGCACACGTGGCCCACTAAGTCAGCAAGCCCACGAGGACCCAAACATGGCTAGGGTTTTTCACTCTTATTTTCATGTGCCGCCCATCCTCAACCGTTGGATCTGATTGAGATCTAACGGATCACAAATATCAAATTTAGGGTTTTACCCTAAAGGATCAACAGTCAGCCGCCGCCACCAGTGGATCTGGACCATCCGATTGGCGCGTGAGATGCACCGACTCTTCAACTCCCCTGCCACGTGAGCCGCCACCAATGAGCTCCATATCCGCCTTCGTCATCAAATC